GTATAGTGGGGGATGAAGCGCAGAATGTATGGCTTGTGTTTCGATCTGGATCATAAATATATTGGCAAGAACGAGCGAAACAGGATTGCCCATACTTAAACCATCTATTTGAAGGAAATGTTCGTTGATGAAAATGAAGTTGGTTTTAGTTGTTGTAAATTCTAAGAGAGAAGCAAAAAATGTGCTAGGGATGTGGATTAACTTGTTGGGGTCATTAATGTAGAGGTCGAGTGCAATATTGCAAGCTTCATTGGCGAGGACTTCGGTGAAGAGTGACACGACATCAAAACTAGCCATTAAGGCTTTCGAATTTAGTTGGTCTAGTGTATATTTGAAATTGAAGGCATCTTTAAAAATTGAACCTGCAAATGTTACATATGGTGTGAGAGTCCAGGCTATGTATTTGCCAAGATTGTAGTTGAAGGAATCATAAGTAGACAGTATAGGTCGAGTTAAGTGAACCTTTTATCAATAAGTTGTTGTTTACACGTAGTTTCATTAGAGAACATAAGGGATTAATATTTAATTAAGTTATTCCCGTAATAAAATATTACTAACTCTTCTCCGGGTATTCAGATCATGGGCGGATTGGCCCACCGGGATATCGGGCAGTTGCCCAGTGTATTTGACGCATTCTTGGAAATTTATTTTAAATGTTAATTGTTTATAAGCGTAAAACTGCACAATGTGATATCTGCGTTGTGCCTAATGTAGAAAAGGGTGCGAACCCCCAATTTGAAAGTTATAAGCCACCAAATCTATCGCCCAGCTTCCATGGGGAAAGAAGTGTTACAAAATCTTCTTCGAGTATAGTGAGAAGTGTTACAAAATCCTTCAAGTATAGTGAGAAGTGTTACAAAATCTTTCAAGTATAGTGAGAAGTGTTACAAAATCTTCTACGAGTATAGTGAGACTTGTTACAAAATATTCGTCGAGTATAGTGAGAAGTGTTACAAAATCCTTCAAGTATAGTGAGACGTGTTACAATATCTTCTTCGAGTATAGTGAGAAGTATTACAAAATCTTCTTCGAGTATAGTGAGAAGTGTTACAAAATATTCTTCGATTATAGTGAAACGTGTTACAAAATATTCTTCGAGTATAGTGAGACGTGTTACAAAATATTATTTGAGTATAGTGAGAAGTGTTACAAAATCCTACAAGTATAGTGAGACGTGTTACAAAATCCTTCAAGTATAGTGAGACGTGTTACAAAATATTCTTCGAGTATAGTGAGACGTGTTACAAAATCTTCGAGTATAGTGAGAAGTGTTACAAAATCCTTCAAGTATAGTGAGAAGTGTTACAAAATATTCTTCGAGTATAGTGAGAAGTGTTACAAAATATTCTTCGAGTATAGTGAGAAGTGTTACAAAATTTTCTTTGAGTATAGTGAGAAGTGTTACAAAATATTCTTCGAGTATAGTGAGAAGGGTTACAAAATATTCTTCGAGTATAGTGAGAAGTGTTACAAAATCCTACAAGTATAGTGAGAAGTGTTACAAAATCCTACAAGTATAGTGAGAAGTGTTACAAAATCCTACAAGTATAGTGAGACGTGTTACATGAAAGGTGTGGCGATACAACGATAAGATACGATACGTATCGTGAAGCCGTGATACGATTGTATCGATACATCGTCCGATACGATATCATTTATGTATATTCACGAAATTTGGCAAGCTTTCAGTAAACATCGTCTTTTGTACAGAAAAAAAATCAGAATTTCTAATAAAGTATTTTTGCTAAAAATTAATGATTCAATAAAGGAAGATGAGTATTAAGTACTACATGTTGTCTTCATTTCTTTTATCAAAAACATTACATGCAAAATAACATATCAAATTAACAATAACAAAATAGGTAGACAGATATTAACTTATTTTTTATTTTACTTCTCTTGCCATTAGGTGATAAAACCTGAGAATTTGAAAAAGCATTGTAAAGTACTCAAATGAGACAATGTTAGTAATATCGATAAATTACAGACAAGACTGTCAAACTTTCTAACAAACCCGCTGGTAAAACTTCTGTTTCTAGATAGCTATAGTATCGACTACTATAAGTATGATAATATACGTACCCCTAATAAATATACAACAAAATTTTTGAGTACAGAGGCAGTGTAAAAGCTCTTAGATATATATATAGTCTGCGTTAAAATATTCGTACAAGTTGTAAAATGATGTTCTACATATATATATATATATATACACTTTGTAATTTTGAGTTGTATCTGTATTTATATGTTGGATTTCCTAGTACACAAATGTAAAATATTTTCTCTTTGTATCCTCGCAGGGCTCAAGGTTATACGGTCATGCTTCCCAAAACGTTGACTTGTAAAGGTTGTACGATACGTTTGTTACGTCAGGCTCGAGAATGGGGCAGTCGATATTTGTTCTGGAGCTGTGCCGACGTTGACGTAGTTCCAGGTCAGTTAAATTCTTTGTTAAATTTGAGCGTTTTTTGTTAAATAACTTTGCACATATGGGATATATGTACACCAAATGAGACTCTTAATTGTAGGTTGTAAAGATCCACCAGTTTACCAAGTTTAAAAAAAAATCCATAAAATTGAAGTATGTTTTTCTATCAAATAAAGTTTCTATACTAAAAGGAAGAAACTCAATCAAAATTGGAGATGTTATATCTCGGGTATTTCTTAATGGATTATCTTGAAATTTGGTATTTGAAGTAATGGTCCAATAGAGCACACTCACTGAAAATATGGGATAGTTTGGATTAACCAAAGTCCGAGCTACAGAAGGTGGAAAATTGATAAACTATCACTCTTGTTAATAACACACAGTGTATCCTGCAGGTTGTTTTTTGGCCACAAGACACATTACTATATGTCTTGATTATGTCTTAACTTTCATCCACAAAATACGTAAAATACTTATTAAACCACATCAGTCATAAAATTGAATATAACAAACATATTAAAACTGATATATTACTGTATTTGCAGTATTGTTTAAACCTTTTTTTTCTAGGACGTATCCAGTTGTACATCCGTACTGCGACATTAGTTCCAATATTTAACCTACACACTTTATATTAAGGTTCTGTTTCAAAATCACTGGTTATTTATTAAGATGACACCAACGTTTCGAAGTGCACAATAGTTTATTTGTATAATGTTAAAAATAGAAAAATATACGTTAAAAAAATTCAAGAAGAAGCAAATATCTACGTTTTCGGTAAAACAGGCTCCATCATCTTCAGGAGACGAAGAAGATGCATAAAGTTCCTTTATATATACAGTAAATGTAGGATGTACAATTTGCATATTGTACAGTGGCGCCATCTATAAACTCGACTTCTAGAAACTTATATCCGTGTCATCTGGACCTAAATCTCTATTCCATATGGTTTTGTTTTGTTTTAACAATTTCTAACGATTCTTTTATATTTAATTTGTTTTGAAACTTTACCAGTTTAAGTTGTTTTTTTTATTCTGTCCCAATCAATGACGTGTGAAGAGTTCACGTGGGCCGAAATCACATGGGCCTTATGTGAAATATATAACAGCAGTCCCAGTAGCGTAAGTATGCCTCCGCAGCCCCCACAATTGGGGGTGAGACGAATAAGCCAGAATCGTAACTACAATTATAAGTAAATAAATGTAGGGGGCCAATTGCTTTATATGCTGGGGGAGGGCATTTTTTGTAGTTACGTCACTGAAAAGTCCTGGACATTCTCGCGCATCAGCTGATGCTGGCAAATAAAGTGCTCTAATATTATTTGAGAGAAGTGCAGAAAAACATTAGTAACATAAGAATCCAGCTGACAAAATGAAATCGACTATGAAGAACTTAAGTTACACTCCGCCACCGCTTTATGACATGTGGCGAACTCTTCGCATGTCATTGATTGGGACAATTTAAAAATACTTACACTAGTGAATTTAAAAAAAAAACGAATTAAACGTAAGAGAATCGTTATAATTTTTTTAAAAACAATGATATTGAATAGAGAGTTAGGTCCATTGTCACGGAGGTAAATTTCTGGAAGTCGATTTTATAGATGGCGCCACTATATAAGATTCAAACTGTACACGTACATTTACTGTAAATCTAAAGGAACTTTATCACGTGTCTTCGTCTCCTGAAGATGGTGGAACATATTCCACCGAAAAACGTAGAGTTTTCTAGCGTATATATTTCTCTTTTTAACTATATAAGTATTGTGAATGTCGAAACGTTGGTGTCGTCATCTTATTCCTACTGAAACTTTGCACTAGAGCTGTCAGTCTAACTTATATATTCACTAGTTATTGTTGTTTGTCATGAAATGTGGCGGAATGTAACTGAGTTCTTCATAGTCGATTTTATTTTGGCAACTGGACTCTTTTATGTTACTAATGATTTTCTTCTCTTCCCTGAAGTAATGTTGAACCATTTTAATTATCAGCATCAACTGATGGCCGATAACGTCCAGGACTTTTGGTTATACATTCCACAAAACCCCCATCTATTCATTCCAAATTCGCGGAATCTAGGCACTTTTGATCAGAAGTGCCCATCTGTTCTAAATTGTGTAAAACTCAAGTTGGATGCTATGGAATCTAAATGTATTTAACGTGTAAGTAGGCACTTATTCCAAATTATGTCAGCCTCAAGTTGAACCACGTGGAATCTAAGTCCTTTTGACTATGTGTGGCCATTTGTGCTAAACTGGCTAAGACTCGTACTGCATCGTGTGTAATCTAGGTGCGTTTGATTATGTGTGGTCATGTGTTGTAAATTCTCGTATTGGATCTTGTGGAATCTAAATCCGTTTGACTATGTGTGGCCATTTGTGCTAAACTGACTAAGCCTCGTATTGCATCGTGTGTAATCTAGGTGCGTTTAATTATGTGTGGTCATGTGTTGTAAATTGTTTAAGTCTCGTATTGGATCTTGTGGAATCTAAATCCGTTTGACTATGTGTGGCCATTTGTGCTAAACTGACTAAGCCTCGTATTGTATCGTGTGGAATCTAGGTGCGTTTGATTATGTGTGGTCATGTGTTCTAAATTGTCTAAGCCTCTTATTAGATCTTGTAGGATCTTGCTGTGTTTGATTATGTGTGGCTATTTGTTCTAAATACTTTAAGATTCAAACTGGATCACGTGAAGTTCAAATATATGTAATTCTAACAACTTTAAGACTCATCTCTGTGGAATTTAGGTCAATTTGAATACATAAGTGTTACTTACTCTAAAATAACTGAAACTTTGTATGATTTTCTTTTCTAAAAAGTATCACAAAATTAAACCAGGTCATAATATATTCTGCATACGCTTCTTCACTGTGCTCCAGTCTGTTGCATATAATGTAACCAGTTTCAACAAACATGAAATGATTTCAGATAACTATCGTTTTAATTTCTTTTCATTTCTGAAAGTACAGTTCGCCAAGTGATAATGATTTATACTTTTAAAATCTAAAACTGTTTTTCATTTATTTGTTAAACCAAAGCATCAGCTGCATATCAAACAAATGTTGCTGTGTATCACATATGTTACTCAGGCGTTTTAACATTACGTCCTGTGAATAACATGTGATGCACAGGACAGGAATAGGGTTAACTGATAGACTAGAGGGAAGACATGTAATTAATAGCACCCTCTGTCGACTGCTGGGCAACTCTAATCGAATAATGAGATTTTCCGTCATTCTTATAACACATCTACGACCTCAAAGTACTGAACATGATTTTTTCAGCAACGGGGTGCAAACCATGGACCCTTGGATCCACAGTCTGGCATTTTAATCACGGCTCAAGGCTGCAGACCTGAATGGATTATTGTATAAACCTCGTTAGCCAGTTTGCTCTTTATACTACCATATCATGATAACCCAAACCTCGTCGTGCTGTTTCATTTTGCCGAAACATTTAAACTTAAAAAAAACAAAAACATGCTGTCCTCATTAATAACTTGCCTTTTTTATAGCAAACTTTTAATGGGAGATTTTACAGATAATATAATTTTATCCAGCTTGTTGTCTCACGTTCCTTATTAATACATTTAGTCTATTTTAAAATACCATTTTTTACGTCATCAGTGTAGTTAAATTTTTGTATATTTCATGAATTATCCCCTAATGGGTCAGCGGTAAGTTTACAGACTTTCAACGCTAAAATCTGTTTTTTTTATCCCGCTAGGTTGACAAACAGATCGCTTTGCATCAGAACAACAACAAATTTCCTGAACTGAGCCTCAACATGTGACCACAAAACTCGTGTTCTTTTAATATCCGAAAAGTTAGAATTTGTAAAAATGAGTTTAATTTATCAACAGCACCTAGTTGATAATTGAGTAATTGGTCAAGGATCTTCATTTTTCAACCCATGACATTTTTAATAGAAATTCACAGAAATCTATGCGTTGGATACCTTAACTAATTCACGTTTTATATTGTTTATCTAACATTCCATTCGATATCAAGTTGAAACGTATTCCATTTAACAATTATTATAGATAACCTGGAAGGAGGTAGGATAGTAAAAAGTTTAAATAACTCTGATATTAACCTTTATTTCGACCTTGTTCATGTTGTCACTTTAAAAGTTCGCTTAACAAAACTAATTAGAAACTTCTTTCATGAAACATGCTTTAGTGCCTAAAGTCAAATTTCTCAATTTCGTTAACTGTTTCGTGTCCAGTGTTTTAATGTTACTCTAAAGTACCTATATTATCTCAAAACTTTATTATGTCCAGTGTTTTAATGTTTCATTGTTACTCTAACGTACCTATATTAGGCTCAAAACTTATTCGTGTCCAGTGGTTTAATGTTTCATTGTTACTCTAAAATGTCTATAGCAGGCTCAAAACTGAATTCTGGACAATGTTTTAATTTTCGTTGTTACTGTAAAATACCTAGAGTTGGTACAAAACTACCCCTTGTCCAGTTTTTAAAATTTCACAGCTATTGCACGCTATTTGTTGAAAATTTTTTCAAGCTAAGTATCAGCTTTGAACGAACTGAATAAATTACCAATCGCAGTAGACTCCTTTATAATGAAAATTGTTAACGGTAGATATGTGCACAATGATGCAGGAATTAAACCCCGAATTTGAGTTTACTGCTGATCCAGTAGAGGGCGTGGATATGCGAACGAAAAATTACTCTGCTTTACCCCACATAAAAACATTTATTCAACCTGGGGTAATATGGTAACCATGGAAACATTAGTTATAGTAAAGGTTTATTTATACCCATGGGAATATAGTAAATATTCATAACCACGGAACCAATGTTATGTTTGATATTCATTGAAACATCACTCGTAGTTGGTTATGACATGAACATTGTTGCCTGATGTCAGTTGTTATGGTTAAAGATTAGCATTTAAAAGACGTTGTTACACACACTGAAGCCGTAGATTAAGCCTTTTAATCCCAAGCTAATGAGTTCCACATAATGATTAGCTAAATTCAGATTACCTTAAGATATTTCTGATAAATCAAATACGTTAATTTTACAGAATCGGAATTCAGTGCAGTGTGTTCTGGTCATGGAAAACTTGAAGAGGAACGCTGTGTTTGTGACCGACTTTACTCTGGAAACGTGTGCCAATACTCGGGTGAGTTTCTTGCATTATTTTGTTTGAAATATTTCATCTTGAGACCTGTGCAGTAGGGTGAGAAGATCCAAAACATTTCTTGATTATCAAAAAATCACTGATAGCTGTCGCTGAGTAACCTCAGGGATATAGACGATTAACTTTACGAAGCCCCCCAGTGGCACAGCGGTATGTCTGCGGACTTACAACACTAGAAACCGGGTTTCGAT